ACGTGTGTACATGTGTGTATGCATGTATGTATGCATGTATGCATGCATGTATGCATGAATGCATGTGTGTATGTATGTGTGTATGTATGTATGTATGTATGTATGTATGTATGTATGTATTTGTGTGTGTATGTATGTATGTATGTATGTATGTATGTATGTATGTATGTATGTATGTATGTCAGTATGTCCGTCCGTACGTCCGTACGTCCGTAGGTATGTATGTATGCATGCATGCACGAACGTACGTATGCAGGTATGTACGTATGTACGTATGTACGTACGTATGTGTGTGTTGTCCCCGTCTATAGCCCTTCCAGGGTCAAACGGCAACTGTCAAGGCCTAAACTTACTCTTGTTTTGACCGGAGGGTGCCAAGATCCAGTTGCTGGATCTACCTGGTATCATCGAGGGCGCCAAGGACGGCAAAGGCCGTGGTAAGCAGGCGCTCGGTGCTGCTGCTGCTGCTGCTGCTGCTGCTTCTGCTGCGCTCATGTTTGGGTAGTTCTCTCTCATTGTAACCCAGAGTAGGTCATTCAATCAGCAATATAGGGACGCCCGAATTTGGGACCCAAAGCTTTCAGAGCCCCCAACTCCAGCATTGCTGCCAGGTCATCAGTGTGGCCTACAGCTGCAGTTTGATTCTTATAGCTGGGTGCTCAGCATTCCCTGGCAAGTCAGCTTGTTAGTCTACATTTGTGGTAGCCTCTTCATGGAACTGCAAGCGAATTTGGCAGGTTTTGGATGTCATGAAGCCAATTCTGCACAAACGAAAGATTGAATACGAACTTGAGGGCTTCGGGCCAGCATCCCAGCTGCTTTCCAAGTTCCAGATTCAGCGTTTGCCATGAGAGCGTCACGCCAAGGATACGGCTCAACAAGAAGCCCCCAAACATCTTGTTCAAAAAGAGGGACACCACTTGACATTTTTGTGTGCTTACTGGGCTGGTGCAGGGCATGTCCCCAGGTTTCAGGGCTGCAGCATTTGGCTGTGGCAGGAAAAAGGAGGCGTTGCGCTCAACGTGTCCCCAGGCTGCGTGCTCAAGGAGCTTGCAAAAGGGCGCAGCGTGGGTGTCCAGACAAGAATCCTGCTTCGCATGTGGAGGACTGCGACGAGGAGAGCATCATGGGTGCCAGAATCCTGGACTGTCCATCCCATCTCTTGTTGACCTCCTGTTCGTGTAGGTGAACTCGTCTGCGCTAACATGCACGTCTGAGGTTCTTCGTGAATACCGCATCTCGAATGCCCAAGTCTCGATTAGATGTGATGCCACCATGGACGACATCATCGACACTCTTGAGGCTCGCGCAGTTGCCTAACATGTGGTTGATGTAGCAAGCCTTGAATGCATGTGCGGCGGAGTTAAACAACGTGGCATAACTTTCCCAGCCATGATGTGGCTGGACAGGGTGATTTCTGAGCGTCATAGGAATGCCACGAAGCAACTGGGAGGTGGTTCATTGAATGCTGCATCTAGTCCACAAAATGCCGGACCGAACATCCAAACAATGTAGAAAAGGTGGCGTGGGTGTCAAACCTGGGCCTCAGTTCTACCGGTTTAGCAGCTGTGGGGACGTCAGATAAACCTCCGAGGTGGCAATTAAGAAAACCCCGAAAGAAACAAGAGCTTTATTGCGTGTTGCTGCACCTGCATTCTGTTTTGTCAACTGTGTTTCCACACGAGGCAAGAGACCTGCGTGTAAGCTGACAAGACATTGCTTAAAAAGCCGAAGTGTCGCAAAATCCGGGAGCTTACAGGCTATAGAATTGTCCTGCTGTCCGTGCTCCAGCCAGGGCAACCGAAAGTACTGCCCCGCCATCTACGTCATGAACAAGATTGACCAGATCACAATTGAAGAGCTCGACATCATTGCCGAGGCATTCCAGCTAAGTTGAAAGCACTTCATGCAACTTTGTATCTAAGATTCTGCCGCTCACACTTCCAAACGAGTGAGTCATTGAGGTACCCCACCACGTGCCCATTTGCGCGCACCATGAGTGGAACCTCGATGGACTGATCGAGATGATCTGGAGATATATGAGTTTGCTAAGGACGAGTGGATTGAACCAACTCGATAACACCTCATGAGACCCTGCAGCTTTTCTGCAAAGATGCAGCTTGCAGGATCTATACAAAGCCCCGAGGGCAGATACCGGACTACACTGTCGCTGTCTTGGCGAGAACTTTGCTGTTACAAAGCGAGACTTGCTCCTTGGAGACTGCAAGGCTCCGGTGATTCTTCCAGCGGAGAAGAACAAGATAGAGGACCAAGCATTGCATGAGTAACCTTTTTGTTGAATTTCCTGGACCACACGTGCCAGTTCATCTCGCAGTGCATCATTTCTGCTGGTGCAATAGACCTCACGGCATCCTGATTGTTCCAGCAAATGCCTGTTGCGCAGGATTTCTGCGTGAGAATACACAAGTCCTTGCTGTCGCAGTGCACGACTAAGACCTGCAAGTGCCGGTTGATGCATGGCAAAAGCAGGGGTTGGCTTGGACCCCCAAAGGTACGTTCCAAGCTAGATTTCCTGGATAAACCGCATGGCTCTAAATTCCATTGTGTATCACTTAGGTTCAAGGTGGCGCTGGTGTGGGGCATGTCTGTGTTGCCGGCAGATTGCCATAGGGCTGGGCGCAAAGCCATATTGAAATAGTATATCGGGTTTATATGAGGATAGTGGACTTCCAAAATGGAGATTCAAATGGAAAATAAATGGAAAGTGAAATGGAAACTGGGCGTATATAGTAGGTGGCTACAAAACAGCTCGGGGCTGACAGGGTTCTTGTGATTTTAGAGGGTTTATATAGGGATTACCGGGATTTTATGGGGTTTATATAGGGATTATAGGGAATATATAGGGATAATATAGGGATAATGGAAAAGAAAATGGAAACTACTACTTAGGGTTTAGCCAGCACCACACCCCAAATGTACCTTAGGAATGCATTGTGAGGGTGATCAGCTGCCGCGCACGTTAGTTAAAGTAGTTTGGAGCGGAATGCCGCGGGCCCAATCTCAGTAGAAATCTGCAAGTGCGCCAGGCAAGGCATAATCCTCAAAGATGTGGGAAGGACCATGAGCTGATGGATGAGGCCCGTTGGCCTAAGATGTCTTCTATCTTCCTGAACCATGCAGATGTCGAGGATGTCGTGCAAATCATCAAGAAAGTGGGATGATGCAGCGTATTTGTTTCACCAGGACAGGTAGTTGTGCAGTGGTCCAGATCGTATGATAGTTTGTCTGACACATGAGCATAGCGTCGAGTAAACTGCCCTATGTTAGCAGCGAGCCATTGCCATTTTAGGGAGCAACGGTTCCCACCCTAGACACCAGCCAGCGTTGCGATCAAAAGACAGCATTCAAGCGCAGATGCCGCGCGTTCGGAGCTCCAGCAGGCTCTGGCTGTGGGGGGCGGGCAGATGCTTTGACTTGCCGAGGAAGCACCAGCCAGAATTCGCAGGCACCCGCAGCCCAATTCCTGCACAGTCACACCCGTTTTCCGCCAGGCCCTTGTGGTCACCTGCGCATCTGCGACGCGCCTTGCTGTCCTCGTGCCCGGGGTAGCGGTTGGTTGGGCTCGGCAATATCCCAATCTTTCCCTCTCCTGCAAGCAGCATGTAAGATTTGGTTGCCTGTGTGTTGAGGATCGCTGTTGCTGTGTACTGGGTGTGCTGATGCACCTTCTGTTTGCCTTCCAGCAGAAGGAGCCGTTGCCTGTTTGTAATTGCTACTTCCTTGCTCGGACGAGAGGGCTCACTCATTGATTGCGGAAGCCGAAAGCTGTGTCTTGTATATGAGAACCAAGATGCAGAAAGCATGCCTGGCTCTTCAGGACATCGGGGCTAGGTTCTGGGGTGCTGCAAGGTCAGAGATTTCTTGCCGGCAGTGTCTCTTGACTTTAAGGTTGCAGTTCATTGCAGGGTTAAACAGGCCGAGATTAGGTGCTTTAGCACAAGCTTAAGGATCGGACGGGGCCATGACGTGAATCTGCCAAAACAAGCTGTCCGCATCAATTAGTCGAGTGCAGCCTTTGTATCGTTAACCCACAGTGACTTGGCCTGGCATCATCCTTCCAGTGCCTGGCGTCAGAGAAGTACAGATCAACAGCGGCGCTAGCTGTCTAGCCCCCCATGTTGAATCAGATTGGTATGGCCATTCTCACACCTGCGACTTGGCGCAGTTGAGTCATGCCGACTACTGTTGCTGAGCGTTGGAGGTGTTTGGGTTCTTGAAGTGTTTCGACGTGTGCTCGCACCGCATTTTAGGATTCTAGGCTTGCGCAGCTTTCAAGTCTCAGCTTCGCGGATCCGCGCTTTGATAAAGCGTCGCGCGGTGCTGGGTTTTTTTGCGCCCACAATCTGTGCAACATAGGCAGCTGGCTTCTGCACTGAAACAGCTTGCGCTCTGTGAAAGCTTGGGCTCAAGTGTGCTCGCCAAATCTTGCGAAGCGTGCGTGTGGCTTACAGACACTCGGTTTCATGCGATTCGGCCTCAGCCCGCGACCATGCCTTGCGCAAAGCGATATTCGCTTCGCACGAGACCTGGTCAAGTTGAAACGGTCGCCATGGGAACAACCAGCATAAATCATCAATAATTTGCATTCCGCTTTGCAGGCTGGTCGCTAGCTCAAAACGAATTCCGCCATCGCCTTGGCGAGTTCCGCCAACTGATTGTGGATGTCCTCCTCGCCCATGGTGCCTCAAACTTTGTCATCAGAAGAAGTTGTAAATACACGCAGTTTAG